AGTGAGAGCTGTACCATCGAGCTGGATTTAGAGTTGGGGTGGCCACGTGGCCCAGGGGGTGGGAAGTCCTGGGTTCTATCCCTGCTCTGCCACTGACCTGCAGGAAAACTCATGAGGAAAATGGCCCCCATCCTGCAAACGTTGTTTAAAATAAGCCCAAAGCGCCAGGCCATGGGTGAGCCCAATGTCTCCCTCCCATCCCAGGAACACGTGGGCAGGGCCGGCTCCAGCTTTTTTGCGGCCCCAAGCGGTGAAGTGAAAAAAAAGATAAAGCAATTCGGCAGCGGGTCCTTCGCTCCCTGTCTTCCTCCTCGGCAGCACTTCGGTGGCAGCTCAAAGAGGAAGAGAGGGCCTGAGGGACCCGCCGCCGGAGACCCGGACGTGCCGCCCCTTTCCATTGGCCGCCCCAAGCACCTGCTTCCTTCGGTGGGGCCTGGAGCCGGCTGTGCACGTGGGTCCCGAGGCGCTTGCACCGTGGTTTTCTTTCGCAAGGATTTAAGCCCCTGCTGTGACTCTCTGCTCCTTTGTGGCACTGAGCAGCTGCCCGGGGATCTCAGGGGCGTGTACCCAGCTACGCCGTAGCCAGGGCCGGCTCCAGGCACTAGCTTAACAAGCCGGTGCTTGGGGCGGCCAAGGGAGAGGGGCGGCACCTGCGGCAATTCGGGGGCGGCAGGTCCCTCACTCCCTCTAGGAGCGAAGGACCTGCCGCTGAACTGTCGCCGCCGATCGCGGCTTTTTTTTTTTTCCCCAATTGGCGCCGCTGATCGCGATCGTGGCTTTTTTTTTTGCTTGGGGCGGCAGAAATGCTGGAGCCGGCCCTGGGCGTAGCGTTTCAGAAACAAGGGAGCGATGCGCTCTGCTGGGCAGGGGGCTATAGGCTAGTCCCCTGCAGGCCATGAACCACAGCGCCAGTGACAAACGGTCACTCAGGCAATAGACTGGAGATGAGACAGGGGCTGAGTTTCAATTGTAGAGTGTAAACCCCTTGGGGCAGGGCCTGGCTTTCTGTTCTATGTTGGCACAGCGCCTATTGCCCGTGGGTCCTGATCCATGCCTGGAGCACCTAGGTGATACTGCAGTATGTGACGTTACGCCTGATGTTGTGTATTACGGTAGCACCTACACAGCCGAGCAGAGATCAGGACTTTGTTGGGCCAGGCACGGCGCGGTCACAGGCTGACAGACAGAACGTCCGGTCTAAATAGACCAGACAGACAACGGAGTAGGAGGAGACGCAAAGGCACAGAGAGAGGATCGGCCTTGTCCAAGGTCCCGCAGCAGGGCCACGGCAGAGAGCGCACGTCCGTCACCAGACTCCCCTTGCATCCGGGCATAGGTGCAGTTTATGCCACCGCTCCTCACCCTGTTTGCGTCAGCTCAGATATGTCAGCCCGGGCCGAGAACCTGGGTTCGAGCCAGACTCAGCGTCCCAATAAGCATCTCCCTCTCCCAGCTGTAGATACATCCGTCCACTCTCTCTAACCCTTGACCTCTAGGCGGAGTGAAAAACGCCACCTGGCCAGGTGCGACTTCAGCATATTCAGGCTGCAGGAGGTTTGAAGAGCCCTGGCAAAGGAAGGCTGGGCCTCCGGATCCCTGGGTTCTAGTCCCAGCTCCGCCACTTGCGGCCTGGGCCAATGACTTATAGCTGATTTGATTCCCGTTGCCTTGATCTCTGTGGTCATTGGATCAAGTCGTGAATATCTCTGCGTCTCACTTCCCGGCGCTTGCTTCCAGTGGCTGGTGTCGCTTTAGACTGTCAGGTGTTTGGGGGAAGGGACTGTTTCACGCTCTGTGGCTGGGCAGCGCCCAGCGGGTGAGGTCATCATCTCAGCCGGCGCCGCATGGTGCTACAGTTCTAATAGCAAACTGCGGCTTCCTGGGGCTATCCAGGCGTGGCGCTGCTTCCCTGTAAAGCCACGCTGGCTTTCAAAAGGAGATGGGGGGGGGGGCTTTAATAACACTAATCCCTAGCTCTCCCCTAGCATTTGTCAGACCTAGAGTTCAAAGCACTTTACAACAGGGGGGAAGTGTCATTATCCCCATTTAACAGATGCGGAAACTGAGGCACAGAAAGGGGCAGTGACTTGCCCAAGATCACCCAGCGAGCCAGGAGTAGAACCCAGGCCTGAGTCCCAGGACAGTCCTCTACCCGCTGGACAACATTACCTAACTTGGTGCTGTGAAAGATACCAGCGTGACAGCCTATTCGCAGTGTAAGTTACACATCCATGCTACCTCCCCATGTGCCTTTAGCTGGACTGACCCCCAGGCTCGTTCTGTCAAGCTTCAGGCGTAAACCAACCTCCAGCTAGTGGAGGTCAGGAGGGAATTTCCCCTGAGGGCAGATCATCCTTTCCTGTGGTGCTGGCCGCTGTGGGAGACCGCCGACTGCGGGGCTACTAGCCCCGGGCTTGGGCCCCCCTCTAGTGCTTGCTCTGGCTTTATGGCACAGCTCAGCACCACACGGATGTGGACACCCGTCCACAACACACAATGGGGCCCACGGCACAGCTCTCTCCTGGCACCGACTTCCAGCGGCTACTGGACGTGAACAGGTGCCCCTGCTGCCCCCATCGCTGTGCCCGGCCATGGAGAGATGGGAGGGGAGCTCAGTCCTTACCGCCCATTTTCCCCTTGGCTTCTCTGCTGCGCCAGTGGGAGCTGATTGAGATGGGGGGATGGGGGGCTCTGGGTTATAAAGCCATTTGGATCATCTAGTCTGGCACCCCCTCCCCCCTCTGCTGCATAACCCAGGAGCTGGTTTCACCCGGCAGTTCTGCCACTGAGCCCCAGGACGTGCAGCGAAGATGTTTTAAAGGTGGGACTGTTGCAAAAGCAACGCTCGTTCTGTTCCACTCTCCAGTCCGGCACCTTCCCTTCCATCTCCCTCTGCAGCCGTCTGCTGCCCTCCCCCCAGACGTCGGCGCTGCCAGCCAGCCCAGTTTAAGGGCACTGACCACACTGTGACTATTTGCACAACAGCCGGAAGAACCCCCCGAGGGTGCAGTGGCAGCTTTGCCACCTCTATCCGCCCCCCACCAGCCGCTCGCATAGGAGGTGGAGAAGGGGCGGAGGGGGTGTGGCTGGGGTGGTCCTTTGCGCTGGCTGCTTTGAGGCTGCTAGAGGGCATGGGGCAAACCAGCCTCAGGAGAGGGCAGAGGCCAGCTGCCACCTCCCCATCCCGGCTCTGCACTGCCACAGGGATGACTCTAGCCTTAGAAGACTATGGTGTGGGCTCAACGCTGGTGGTCCCATAGCCAGGGCCCAGCTGCCATCCCTGACTGCCAAGAGAGCGGGTTCCATGCATTACCGGGGCCCAACGCAGCCTGGCTTCTGGGTTCTGTGACCTTTCCTGCCTGGTTTAGAGGGCAGACGCCGGGTTCTGGGTCCTGCTGAGCCGGGCGCGTCATTGATGACTTAGGGGAGCTTGGTTCCAACCTGCTCCTCCGGGAACCTGCTCCCCTGTGAGTTCATAACTCAGCTCCCCCAAAGGGGAAGCGCTGGAGCCGGAAGGTTTGGGAACACTCCATGAAGCCTTAGAGGGTTCATCGTCACTGCACCAGCGAGCGCCACGCCAGCCCCAAGCTAGAGATTTGTGCATGTGTGTGTGGACAGGAGGCAGGTTAGGGGCAACACGGGTGTTATACTGTGAGCTAATACCCCAGTGAAGACAAGCCCTGAGTACTTCTCCAGCCCTGGGCACTGCAGCGTCTCAGCACCTTGCAGTCGCAAATCGATTTGCATCCTGGGGCAGATACCGATGCAATGGGGGAGGAACTGAGACCCCGAGAAGGGGCTTGCCCCAGGGAGTCTCCAGGGAATTTGTCTCAGGTCACTTGGGCAGGGTCCTAACCACGGGACCATCCTTCCTCTCTATGAGCCGTTTGTGGGTCGAGAACCAGCATTAACCCACCAGAAGCAGCACCCCTCTAGCAGCAGGCACTCACCGGCAAAGGGTTTGGTCTAGTCACGTTCTACTACAGCCTCCAGGTAGCTGGGCTCTACAATATTTCAGGGGTGCTGATCTGCAGAGCCCCCAAAGCCAGCGCCTTCCTCTTCACTTCCTATCTCCCTCTTGGCGTGGCCTTTCCCCCAGCCTGCTCCCAACCTCACCCCAACAGCTGCCGAGGTTCAAAGGTGGGCTACAGTGTGGGGACAAAGGTCCAAGGGGCGGGAGCTGAGGAAACCAGTGTAGGGAGCTCTAAGTGATGCAGGAGGCATTTGGTATAGGCAACACCCTCCAGATAACTGCACTTTGCTCTCCTTAAGTACTCGTCAGCTGCAGATCTTAGAGTACGTGATAAACATTCACTGCTGCGGAGGCTGAAAAACATACTGTTGCCAATGCTCACTGTATTTGGTGTTTTCATTAAAGCCCCAGCTCCCGGAATCACGTGATTACGTAAGCACCTCAGCTTTCTAGCTGTTGTGGTCATACAGAAAAGCTTGAAACTGTGACCTGAGTGTGACCCCGAATGCTCCGAGCCCAGAAGACAAATGAAAATAATTGAAAAAAAAACATATTTTTAAGACAGTCTCACCATTGTTTGAGGCCTGATACATTTTTTAAAGTGCTTTGGCCTGGCACTATGGGGAGGTTAAGTGACTTGCCCAAGCTCACGGAGCAAGGCGGCAGCCAAGCTGCAAATAGAACCCAGGAGTCCTGGCCCCCCAAGTCCCTTGCTCTAACCAGTAGCCCACACTCCCTTCCAGGAGCCCTGATTTCCAGCTCTCATATTTAACTGCTAAAATCACGCTCCCTCTCCTGAGCTGGGGATAGATTGAGGACTCTTGACTCCCCCGGCCAGCTCTCACCACTAGACCATCGTCCCTCGTCAGAGCTGGGAATAGAACCCAGGAGTCCTGGCTCCCGGTCCCCCGCCTCGCCGCTTTGCCCGTTCCGCGGCCAGCCGTGACAACGGGATTCAATGAAAAACTGGCTGGCGACGGAGAGGGGGCGTGTGTGGGGCTGGCGGGGCAGAGCCCAGAAAAGGGTCCGGGCTCCTTTAAGACTGCGGCAGCCTTCAGCCTCTTCCCAGGACCCAGCGGGTCAGTTTCCCCGGGCGAGGGGGGGGGAGACCCGCAGCTGAGCGGAGCCGCCCCCCCGGGAAGGAACCGGCTCCCCCCCACCCCCAGCACCTTAGAAGGGACCACGAGCCCCGCCCCCGCCGCATCCTCCCACCTGGGGCGGCCTCCTGCCGCGGCTGGGAGGCGAGTCTCTTCCAAGCCGGCTCGCCATGCAGGGCCCCCCGCCAGCGCGCCCCGGGGCGCCTCCCCTGCCGCGGGGCTGAGCCCGGCCCCAGCCGGGCACCTTCCTCGCCATGGACTGAGCGCGCTGCCGTCTCCGCCAGGGACCGGGACTGGCCCCTTGCCTCCCCCCCCTTCCTTCCCTTCCGGGGGGTTCGTTCCCCCCGTCTCCTCCCCGCTGGGTTTGTTTTTATGGGGCAACAAGAGACGTGACCATGTTATCGGGCTCCAAAACCTCCTTTAAAATCCAGCAGCACCCGCCGGGCCCTGCGGTAAGTGGAAAGGGGGGGTGGGTTGAAATGCTGGGGGGGGGGGGGGTAGAAGGGTTGCATGTGGGGGGCTGCAACCATGTGCATGGTGTGTGTGTGGGGGGAGCCACTGAACCAAACTGGAAACCCTCCAGGATGGAAGGAAAAACCCCTTCAATCAACGGGGGTGCTGGTGCACCCCTAGTTCCAGCACCTAGGGTGGCCGGGGGGGGGGGAGGGCGGGGAAAGAAAAAGA